GCCCCCCCCCCCCCCAAAAAAAAAGAGGAGAAAAGGAAAACTAGGTGTATTGACTTCCCAGCGCTAGTTTTTTTCCCCCAAAAAAAGTTGTAGATGTGAAAGTAGCCATTGCTGCTTTGCTTCTATAATGTAGAGAATACCAAAGAAAAGCCCAGTGCAAGTGTTCATCACAAATTTTATAAATCTGCACTCTTCTGTTTTAGAAAGAGTCTTACGGCACTTGCAACATAATAAGGTCATATAAAAGATAAAAGATTTGAGGTGTTACAAAAGAGTATGAAACACAAAAAGGAAGGAGAGACAACCGAAGAAGATAGATGTTTGATAGGAAACAAGGAGCAAACTCCACCAGAGCACCCACCAACCCTCCACAATCTGAACTCTAGAGATCACCAATATAACAGGAAGAACACAACACAAGGGTTTTTTTTCTTCTTTTTTTTTCGTAAGAGTTTTACGGCACTTGCAACACAATAATGTCATTAAAGTGCCGAAGATTAGATGTGTTACAAGGGAGTAACAAACACAAAAAAGAAGGAGGGGAGATAAGGACAATAGATGTTTGATAGGAAAGAAGAAGCAGCAAACCACACCAGAGCACCCACCAACCACACACAAACACAAGCTTAAATAAAGATTCTGGGGTAAAAAAACAAAAAAACAAAAAAAAACCCCACAACATTGAGTTTATCACAGAAAAACTTCCCACTCACTGTCAAAGTTGCAGTGTCGCTGAAAGGCTTGGATGATCTGATCAAAAAATCTGTGAAGCCCCTGGAAATATTCAATAATGAAAGTGCGATCAATGGTAACTTTCACAACAAAAAATGATAGCTTTCGTAATAAAAAAAAGAGTTATATGTGGAATAACAAAAACACACCAAAACATTTCAAACTCCCTAAAAATAAATGACTATCCTGGAACACTAGAGACCATGTTAATGAAAGAAGGGAGCTCATCCTATAAAACTGACAACGCTGTACAGGACGTGATGGTGTCGGCAAAGTACCATGGTCGCCCCTGCAGGTTTACTATGGGGGAGCAAAGAATACACCTGCTTTAGTTTTAGTTTGTTTTAGTAGAGGTTTTACGGCGCTCGCAACTGCATAAGGTCATATGAGCGTCAGAAGATTAGAGGTGTTACAAGAGAATAACAAACAAAAAAAAAGAAGGGGAGATAAGGACGATACACGTTTGATAGGAAAGAAGGAGCAAACCACGCCAGAGTAACCGGCAAGAGGCGACTAAAGGTGCATAGGTCTGGTCGCCCGAACAGTGCCAGTTTGCGGAGGGCCAACTACCCGACCCAGTAAAAACGGAAAGTTATGCTAGAAACACAAACCAACTACCCAACCCAGTAAAAATGGAAAGTTATACTAGAAACACAAACCAACTACCCAACCCAGTAAAAATGGAAAGTTATACTAGAAACACAAACCAACTACTCAACCCAGTAAAAATGGAAAGTTATAGAAACACGAACAAACAGGCCTTATTATTTTTGCCTGTTCGTGGCCTATATCCTGATCTAGGGCCAACTACCCAACAGGGGGCTCTCGTGGCCTAGAGGTTAAGGTGTTGGCCTCTCATTCAAAAGGTCCCGGGTTCGAATCCGGGTAGCGACCTAAAAATTTTCTTCTCTAAGATTGTCTCCTTTCACCTCCTTTCCTGCTCTCTAACAATGTTCTGTCGTCTGCTTTCAATTTCACTTTCTGCCCCCACCCGCGCACCTCCTTTGCCACCTCCTCTGGGCTCCTGACTCTTTCTGCAGCCTTTCTACTGCTACTCCTTGGCTCCTCCTTACTGCTGTCTTTCTGCCACACCCCTGATCTTCTGGTGGGAAAGATCTACACCTAGCCTTCTCGGACAAGGGCGAAAAATCTCGGAGGGCCCGTGTGCAAATTGCGCATGTTAAAGATCCCTTTGTGGTCTAAAATCGATAAGAGTAGGCTTCGGCTGCCACCAGGGCAAAATTCAAAATTTTCTACCAACTGAAAATATTAGGTGTGTCCCGCGCGCTCATATGACCTATGCAGTTGCGAGCGCCGTAAAACACTTTACAAAAACAAACAAACTATCCAACCCAGTAAAAATGGAAAGTTATAGAAACACGAACAAACACATAGGGATGTAAACAGGTTTTGAAAAAAAAAAGTCGGAAAATATACGGCGCGCGCGCATTGACTGAAATAAGAATACAGTGAGGCTAAATTATATTTGTTTCTTTCCCTCCATTACAACAAATAATCTCTATTTAGTATATATATAATATGTATTTTTTTATAGAGTAGACTTCTGTTAAAAGCTGGGGCCCAAATGGCAAATCGGCCGGAAAAAAACGGAAGCTTTTTACATCCCTGTTATTATTTTCGCTTGTTCGTGGCCTATATCCTGATCCAGGGTGAGAAAGGCAATGATGAAAGTACCTTGGTGTGCTGGTCGCACATGCCTTTCCTCTTGCGGGGAATGCTGGTTTCTATCTTGGCCCGGACCAAGGTCATGCTTGGTGTGACCAGGCACACGTGGGCGATTCCTTCCTGCATGACGATGGCCATCAGGTCTGCATGCTGTGCTGGGTCACAGGCGATATCTGAGGAGAGGAGGAGGAGAGATGTTTTAGTAGAGGTTTTACTGCACTCGCAACTGCATAAGGTCATATGAGCGCCAGAAGATTAGAGGAGTTACAAGAGAGTAACAAACATAAAAAAGGAGAAGGGGAGATCAGGATGATAGATGTTTGATTGGAAAGAAGAAGCAAACCACACCAGAGCACCCGCCAACCACCCACGAGGAGATGTTTTAGTATTTTGTACAGTAGTGCGAGTTGGGGAAGTAAAGGCCGCGTGGAAAGGAACTGGCCACCCTACCACAATATGCCGAAGGCCCAGGAAGTTTTCTCGCTAACAAGGCAATCCCCAATGTCCGGATCAGACGCTGGAACAATTTTTTTACAGTAGTGCAGTGGTGGAGCGGTTATTGCGCTTGTCTCCGAAGCGGGAAAGTCCGGGTTCGAGCCTCGGTTTGGACACTGATTTTTTTCGCCCCCTCCTACCCACACAGCAGTAATGGGTACTTGACTTCCAGTTAGGGAAGTAAAGACGGTGCGGAAAGGAACTGGTCACCCTACCAAAATATGCCAAAGGCCCAGGAAGTTGTCTCACTAACAAGGCAATCCCCAAAGTCCGGATTGGAAGCAGGAACAACTTTACTTTTTACAGTGCAGCCTCGCTATAACGACATCGTCTGGACCAGAAAAAACAGTCGATATAAAGAGGCAACCCCAAAATATTACTTATGAAATTATATATACTTAACTCTTTGAACCCCAACCGGCGCTGGGAGCGTCCAGTACTAGTGACAACTGTTTCGTTTTATTTAGTGCTAGTTTTTGCTTGTTTTTTCAGAACTATTCCCAAACCAAGTTTTTTTTTTAGTAATGACTAAGCCTTTGTTTCTGCTACTTAGAAGTTGGAGGCAAGCTGTTGGGGTTTTAATGAGACACAGTGCACAGGTTTAGGTGACTGTAGAAAAAAACTCCGGGAAACGGTAGAAAAAACTCAGGGCTTAAAGAGTTAAAAAATCGGGACCTGGGCACCATGTCACTATACAGAGGAAGTCGTTATACCGAAGGTCATTAAAGAAAGGTTGCACTGTACGTGTTTTACTTTACTTACAACACAATAAGGTCATATAAGTGCCGAAGACTAGAGGTGTTACAAGAGAGTAACAAACACGAAAAAGAAGGAGGAGAGATCAGGATGGTGGATATTTCATAGGAAAGAAGGAGCAAACTACACTAGAGCACCCATCAAGACAAAATAAATGCATACCGACATTATTATGAACACTAGAACTTTGAAACATCAAGGTCACAAAAAGACTACAGCTAAGTACGAAGGAAGTAGGGCCCATAATTTGCATCTTCCAACGATCTACCTTTCTGAACAGATGAAAGTTTAACATTTTACACCTGAAAACAAAGTTCCCAACTACTTTCAAAGCACATGTAATTTTGAGACAGAAACTTGAGTCAATAGCATATTCTGCAAAATTATTTGTAAGGAAGCATAAAAACTATATACAAATCATCATAGATAATACTCTTTTACAACATAAGGTATCAAATGACATGGGAGTACTAAGACAGGACTACTTTTAGTTTTAGTAAGAGTTTTACGGAACTTGCAACACTATAAGGTCAAGTGCCGAAGAATAGATGTGCTACAAGAGAATAACATACACAAAAAAAAGGAGAAGAGATAAAGACGATAGATGTTTGACAGAAAAGAAGGAACAAACCACACCAGAGCACCCACCAATCACCCACCAGGATTACTTTGTACCTTCTAAATCTCAATCTTCTTTTGTTTGTTCGTCCTATTGTTGCTACATCCCGGTGCCACTTACCTATTCTCTCTATGGCTACACTGTCCCATTCTGCCTTGCTGAGCGTGAACTGTCTGTTCATCTCGAGGAGGAGAGTGTGGTACGCCCCCATCTGTGGAAACAAAAATACCACCGAACACAAGTCACACTGCTGTAGGAGAAGTAGTGTCCCCTACTCTTACCACAATTGGTCGCTTTTAATTAAGCACTGTAAGGAGGCTATCCTAAAAAATTCTGTTTTGAGAAAATTGAAGGTAAAGTTCTTGGACCTTTACTCAGTTTCTTTAAAAGACAAAGAGAGATTTCTCTATAACCAAACAAATATAGACACCAATGTAACCAAACTTCTCCTAAACATAGGGCAATGCCCACTTTTGGTGTAGGTCAAGATTTCTGGAAACCCCCGAAATCTGGGTTAGCCCACTTGTCCTTAAAAGCGACCAATTATGTCACACAAGCTGCAGAAGGCAAACTAACAATGTGAAAAAAAATTACAAATGCTGGAAACAGCTTGAGATAAGGCAGACTATGTCACAGTTCCCATCAATCTTAGGGTTTGGTAAAGGGCACAAAAAAAGACAAATGTGAAGCAGCGTGCTGGAATCAGGCGTTAAAATAATCAAAATGAAGAAACTTGCATTTTTCTGCAGGTTTGTGAACTTTTATCAAATTGTTTGTTTTTTTTTGGTTCAACACCTTTCATGCCCATTAAAGAGCTCATTTCTGTGTGGATTTTTCTGAAAAACGTTGATTAAAGGTACAATGTAAATTTTCAGTTGCCACAGACTCTTAAGCTAAGGAAATAACTAATCTTTGGCGGCCATTTTCTTACTAATTATACCTCTGAAAACAGGTGACCCCTTCTTCCTTCATTTGCAAATATCTTGACTTACAATATTCAAGATAAATGGATCTTTCTTTCATCCAAATAAAGACAAGTGAACAAACTTTAGGATGATAACAATAACTCTACATGCCAAAAAATTGATGAGAGCCTGATTCCACCACGCTGCCTCACATATTTATGAGGTAGTAGGCTAGAGACATTGTAGTTCACCTGCACTCTTGATTTCCCTCATAGTTTGTACAAAATAATTTTATTGTAACTATATTGATAGTGGCAGTCTTGAAGCAATGATTTTTAAGTTTCTAAGAAGCGGAGTGACTTTAGAATGGAACGGACCATATGGACTGTTTGAATTCGTGAAGAAGGGGATGTGATGACATTTTAAAAAATTCCTCGTCCTTAATAGAGTCAGTCTACAAAAAGGGTTCTTTTGCAGAGTTGATCAAAAAAAATTCTGAGGACACATAAATGCTTTGATATTTGTCTTTTTCCATACAACTGCCATACATAAATAAGTAAGTGTAAGTAAGTTTATTCAGTGTTTAGGCCATTGGCTCACATTACTTTGTATAAAATACTCATTTGTTAAATAAAGTTTCCATAATAATAAAAGAGTACAGGTTGTGAACATATCTTTTGTCATAGGTCACACATTGCATTATATTTCTGTCACTGGGTCGAGTCAGGCAGGGAGGAATTAGCAATTTCCTTTGACAATAGAAAATAAAGTGAAATTCATCTTCCATTTCAAGACAGTTACACCTCTCACATCATCATCATTGCCTTTCTCACCCTGCACCAGGGTATAGGCCATGGACAAACACTTTCAACCTTTCTCTATCCTGGGCTAGCCTCTTGATCTGATGTTATTCCCCGCTGATGCAGAAGCTCCTCCGCTTCCCAAGATTGAAAAATAAAAAGCTGTGTTTGTTCGTGTTTCTGTAACTGACAGTTTCTACTGGGTTGGGTAGTTGGCCCTCTGCAAACTGGCTCTTTTCGGGTGATCAGACCTATGCACCTTTAGTCGCCTCTTACGACATGAAGTGTCACGGCAAGTGTATCCTTTGCTCTCTCATAGTAAAACTATGGGGCCCCCAACACCTCTCACACAAGGGTGTATTAGTATACACCGATAGAGATTGTTCACATAAAAACAAAAATCACTTCAAAAGCACTCATGAAATAAGGATGACAAACTCACCTTGACATACTGGTTTTCGCTGATGTTCCGCCCACTCACTCTCAACACACAGGCCTGAGTGTCAAAGTCGATCGTTTCTACCTGGATGGTGAGGGTGGTGCGCACTTTGTTCACACTGACACTGCCAGTCGCCGATTCATTCTGAACTTTTCTGAGGGGGGAAAGAAGAAGAAACCATAAGATCATTGTAACTGTCTGTAGTTTAAATATAACCACCCACCTCTTGTAGCAATCACCAACTGCAGGATGTCCATCAAGAAGTCACAAATTCACATTTCACGCAACAGTCTACTCTACTGTCCCTATCTAGCACCGTACGCTGACCAACTTGCACTGACGAGTGACAATGCTCTTGCCCCTCGACTGCCACTCACGCTAACGAGGTCTTCCACAGTCCGTGGCTGATGCCTCGGCCTGTCGTTGTTCTCTTCTTCAATGTCAAATAAGTACTCGATTACTTTTCCCAAAATAAACCAACTAACCACGCTGTCCTACCAATAGGCCATTTAATTCAGCCTTCGGCTGAGCAAACTACGGCCTGGGGGGTCAGATCCGGCCCCTGTCCAATTTCAGTCCTACCCGCCTATATTTATTATAAACAAAATTAAGATTCAGTAAGTTCAATTAATTGTGTGGGGAGCATTTTCCATGACCAACCTGACCTTTTTTTTTTTCTTGACGAAAGAATAAGTAGCCTAGCCTACTCACTTAGAGTTGAAGATTAGCAGCAGCTTAAGTTTTGTGTACAATTCGTAAAAGAGAGCGGGTATACAGATTAACTGAAAGTAAAAGAAGCGAAGAATCTTTTTCCAGCAACTCACCTGATTGTGGTGGATCTTATGGTATCTCCGACTGACACCAAATTGTATGTATGCCACATATCTTCCGATTCCTCGGGGATCAAACCAAGTGATCTGAAAGAAAATTTTTAACAAGAAACAGTTTACAAACGACAAACATGTCCACACTAGATCTATATTATTTGTATTTTTGTACTTGTACGTTTATAGAATTCTTCCTGGTTTGACAGTACATCAACTTTTGTTAAAGGAACCCTAATAAAGGGCGTGAGTCGGACTACCCGGGAAGTGCGCAGGCCGTATTATATCTGACCTACTTCAACCGGGAAGCGTGCAGGCCCTATATATATAAAGGGCATTTAAACGTTGACCTTTTTCAATGGAAAATTTCAGTATTCCTCTTTTATGGGAAAATACGAGGTAAATTACAGGTCAAAGTTATAAATAGTGACCAATGACTTTGCAAGTCGTCTTGACCTTGTAGAGTGTCTCTTGGCCAAGATATCAATCGATAAAGTGACGCGGTCCAGCTGGAGCGACTACACGCTATGTGTTATCAATGTTTGGCCATGCTAATGTACTAATTATCGAGTTTTTATAGCGTTTTGCACTTGGTATTTATTTGATCGCTTATCATTTTTTAATGGCTCAATCTATCAGCTGAATTTTAATTAAGCCTCAGAAAAGTCTGAAAAGACATGGATGATGGTTTTAGATTTATATACACACTCTTTAACCATCTGTTGAGCCGTAAATGGTCATTTTTCAGTAGCACGTAGCCTACATCTAGAATCTAGACCTAGTATCTCAGCTGATATCCCTTCCCCCAGCCAAACCCCCATATTTACAACCGATCGGCTGTGGCGTCGGGGCATTTGGCGGGTACTTCTCGTGAAACGCTGCCGCTGAGTACTGAGTGCTTCTAATTTTCCGGGCTAGGGTTAGGCTAAAGTAAGTATGATCGAGTCAACCCAAAAGCGGCAAATTAGGACAGTCAGAAGTTAAGTAAGTAGATCTAGTAACTAACTTCTAAATAGCACTAATCTAGTACTACTAGAATGTAACTTAGATCTAGATTCTAGATCTATATCTAATTATCTAGTACTTCGTGAAGGAGTAGTCAAGACCAAGTTTGCCTGCTGTGGTGATACGATTCATACTTTACTGTGACACTGTGATGATGTTGTGTTGATAAGCATCACAAGATTCATTCTCACCCCGAGTTGTTCTTGTCGAAATCCCGGTGCACAAGCTTCATTGTAGTCTTTTAGTAGCCCAACTCTCTTAAGTTCAATATTGACAAAAAATGAAGTGCTTTAAGAATTATGGTTCAAGTTCTTCTCGCTGATGTATCATTATGGAAGATTTCAGCATGTTGATGAAACACCAGAAAATAAACTACAACGCAGACAGGAACTCGATGGGTCAAAGGGGAAAGTAGCCAGATTTTAGAGTCAAAGAATATCATAGTTTTATCGGTTACGGTGATTTCTCCCCCTAAAAAGCAACAGAAAAGAATTGTCAACGTTTTTAAACAATAAATTAGTGGAGAAAAATATTGCATATTCATTTGATACTCTGTTCTGTATTATTACAGGATTTAACAGATCAAAGTACTTGTATGCTTGTATCAAACAAAACAGAAAGCTCTTTTTGATTGTTCTGTGCCAGGCGTAGGCTTATAGGGCAAATTTCATGTTCAAACAAGCAACCCATCCCTATCGTTACACTTTTCCCTCCACCGGGCCGGGTGTGTTGATAGGCCTGAGGGGGCGGAGTCTCATATTCCGAAAGAAAAATCCCAAGTTTCAGTTTCGAGCCTAGAGCGGGACTCAAACTCAGAACCTCTTCAATCCAGATCAGATGCTTTACCACTAGGCTACCCCACGGATGCGCACTCAGTTACTTGTCTACAAATCTATGGAAGTGTAGGAAAAAATTAGCTTTGTAGTTGCTGTATGATAAACTGGGTGTATAATACAATTTTCATCAATAGTCAATACATGTATACAACTTTAAATCATTTTACAAGTTTTAATAGGCTGTACAGATACAAACATTCCGTCAATATAAAAGCAGCTGTCCATCATCTTTTTTTTTCACCCGCTACTTGGTGGGGCAGCAGACATACTATGTAGATATCCTTGGAACTTGAACCACCATAATCAACGACCATCAGATTTTGTTCCGCATTTGGTACATGTATTATTTTTAATTACATGATTTTGTTTTCAATCACAGAATTCTAAACAGTGTAGAATTCTGTGTTTTCTTCAATAAATTAAGTTTATTATAAACAAGAATTTTATCACCCGCAGGCGGCACACCCAGAGGCCGGCGACGCATGAAAATCAGACATTGAGTTGGTGTTCGATTTTTGTTGCAGAATTAATGCCTATAGCCCCCCCCCCCCCCCTCGAAAAAAAAATCCCATCTCTCTCTCTCTCTCTCTCTCTCTCTCTCTCTCTCTCTCTCTCTCTCTCTCTCTCTCTCTCTCTCTCTCTTTCTCTCTCTCTCCCCTCTTCTCTTCTGTTGCAGCCGCCCGGCTGGACAGTGGACAGGACATATATGCCTTGCTGGTGCGGCATGCCGACAACAGAATTTTCTATTATTATAGCTGGCTTCATGCATAATAATATGAAGACTGTAGCGATATGCGTCCTTACGGTAAAATGAAACCAAATTCGTAGGCAAAGGATCAGGATGAACTATAGATGTCCCGTGTTAAAATTTTGCACTTAGGGTTTAGATCTAAGTAATACACCTCTTATCTCTATCTCTAATTAATCTCCCCTTTTTTTCCCCCCCCCCTTCTGGGGGAGGGGGGGGGGGGTGTTTTGGTGTCGCATCAGCATGAAGTCCTCTCGAGCGTGCCAGACACATTACACATTCATTTTTGGTTGGTAGTAAATTTGAATTTTGCCCGGGTGGCGGCCGAAGCCGAAGCCTATCGATTTTGGACCACCAAGGGATCTTTAATGTGCGCAACTTGCACACGGGACCTCCGAGATTCCCCCCCCCTTATCCGAGAAGGCTAGGTGTAGATTTTATTTATCATAAAATCAGGGGAAGCATATGTGGTTGAAAGACAGCGGTACGAAGGAGCCAGGAGAAGCAGTAGAAATGCTGCAGAAAGTGTCAGGAACCCAGAGGAAGGGGCAAAGGAGATGAGTGGGTGGGGTGAGAAAGTGGAGACGAAATCAGACGACCGAACATTGTTATGTTTTTATGTATGTGTGTGTGTGTGTGTGTGTGTGTTTGTGTGTGTGTGTGTGTGTGTGTGTGTGTGTGTGTGTGTGTGTGTGTGTGTGAGTGTGTGTGTGTGTGAGTGTCAGTGTGTGTGTATATGTGTGTTTATGCGTATCTATTTCATTTACACAGTACTTGTATTATGTGTCTTCTTGCAAACTTACTGTACCTGTGGCACACGTTTTCTTTCTTTTTGGGATTTGTTATCGGAAATACTCTATACAGCGACAAAGCACAGCTGATTAAAACCTGCAAACTCTTTGCCATATCAACGGACTGAAGGGCTAGAACCCAAATGGCCGCTGGATCGGAAAAATAAAGTAAAGTAAAAAGTTGGGATTTGTTATTTTTTCAATTTGTTTTTTTTATGTATGTGTGATACCACACTATAGCTCGTAGGCCTACTTGCACAGCAATGGTATCACGTCTCCTTACACATTATAAAGCACTTTCTGCGGTTTATGGATCAACTGAAAACGCCAAAATAACCATAGTAATAATAGTAACCATTATACTATTAAACTGGGTTCTGGCGCTCATATGACCTTATGCAGTTGCGAGTGCCTTAAAACCTCTACTAAAACTTTAAAAAAACCTGGGTTCCACACCGAAGCAGTTAAACACTCACAGGAGACTCTCTTTATGGGAGGTAACCGTGCAATCCAACAGAAGCCTGTCATCAAAATGTCGAGTTTCTTCCCTTGATACGTGAAAGTAACGTCAGTTCTTTTCACTTTTCATCATCGGGGTTTTCGGGTCTGAGTTTCGAGCCCAGGTTGGGGGGAAGGGGGGGGGGGGGCATTGAGCTTTTTTCTTCTTTTTTTTATATTGTTTTCTTCAGTTTTCCTCAACTGTGAGTGTCACAGAGTGGGCACACAGAGCCCTCGGTTCCTTTACGTACGTGGGTGACGTCATCATCATCATCCGGTGCCTTGCCGACTGGCGTGGGCGATCATGGACCTCCGCTCCACTTCACCATGTCTTGCGCTGCAGCAATGGTGTCTGTTGTTCTTGCTGCTTCCAGCCATGATGTCGTCTTGTCCAGTATCTTTTCCCTCTGTCTGCCTCTGCCTCTCTTTCCATCAAACTTGCCTGTTGTTACAATTTTCTCTAATGCTTCTTTCCGAATTGTGTGTCCGAAGAAATTTGCCTGTCGTTTTCTTATATTCGTGATAAGTTGTCTTCTATAATTTGCTTCAACCAGGACTTCTTCATTTGTTTTTGTTTTTTAGCTGTCCATGGGATACGTAGCCTGCGTATTATGAACCACAACCCTGTCGCTACAATTGTTCTTTCCAGCTGTTTATTGATTGTCAACGTTTCGCACCCGTATAATAGGATTGGCTTCATGTAACTTTTCAGTACTCTTTTTCTCGTTTCCAGTGACAGATTGATGTTTATTAGTATCTGTTTCATCTTGTGGAAGGTTGCTTTTGCTTGACAAATGCGGCTTTTAATTTCTGTGAGACATCTACCATCTGATGATATAATGGTCCCCAAATATTTACAATGTTGTACTTGCTTGTGAGGGTGGAATCATTGATTTTGATATTGCTTGTTGGGATTAGGTGACGTCACAGCCACGAATTCTAGCACTGTAATATTACAATACAATGACTCTTCTGGTGTTGAACTCGCTTGAGTTGATCTTCGGTAGAGTTGATCTTCGGTAGAGTTGATCTTCGGTAGAGTTGATCTTCGGTAGAGTTGATCTTCGGTAGAGTTGATCTTCGGTAGAGTCGATCTTCGGTTAAGTTGATCTTTTTCTCAGGTCCCCGCACCTCTTCTTCTGTACAGATCCCAACGGTCAAGTTGAACTTCTGATGAGTTGATCTTTTTTTTTCACTTCTCCAACAACATAATAAACTCATCCGTAGTCGACTGTATTAACCCTATCCGTACGCCCTGGGGTTATTTTGTACCCACGGGGTTGTATTTTTCACATTTTAGAATACTTCTAATCGGAAGATCTCTTTGAAACTTTCAATATTTCTCAAAAAATCATTTTGACAGACTTCTAGGCAAAGTGTACAGATCTGATTAACGAGTAAATTTCCTCTTTGGAAAGTGGTGGCACAAAGTTCTCCACCTCGTATGGATACGATAGTAAAATACGACGTACGGTTAAATAACTCTTTTTTTTTCAGACTGCCGTCATAATTTATGCACCAAACAAACCACATCCAATAGGAAACTACAGACAAAAGTTTCGAGCATTGTGCACCAGGTATAAGGAACCGAGGGCTGGCGAATCGCGGTCTCTGAAATGTCTACCTGTGGACTTTTTTATGCTGTTTGGCACACCGTATCCCCGTGTATTGCCAACATGGCATTTCACTTTGTTTTTCCTGTTTACCTTTCAGTTGAGAATGTTTCGATTTTTTTTAGAACAAAAAGTTGTTCTCTATTTTTTTTATTTTGTTCTGGATTGGGGTAAGATGTTTATAATAAATGCCACTCTGTTTCTTGTGCGGTTTTTTGGGGTGGGGGGGGGGGGGTGGCATGAACAAGTCTGGGAGATTAAAAGGAAGAAAACAAACAAACGAATGACTCTACGTTGTGGAAAAGCAAACTTTAAGCGATTTCAAAAGACGCTGCAAAATTTTTCTGGACGGCTGCACTGTCTCGGACTCATCATCAGGGAAACATTTAATTTGTTTGACGGTGTGGATGTGTTGCGTGTGTCATGGCGCGGTGGAATCAGGCCCTTGTCTTTTCTTAGTTTTTAGTAAGAGTTTTACGGCACTTGCAACTCAATAAAATCATTTTAGAGCCAAAGATTAGAGGTTACAAGAGAGTAACAAACACAAAAAAGAAGGAGGGGAGATAAAGACAATGGATTAGCGCTCGTCAATTTTTGGACAAATAACGTTGTTGGTATCCTCTTAAAACTTACTCATATATCTTGCTTTTGATGAAAAAATATCCATCTATCTTGAATAGAAGTAGATATTTTTGCGGTTGAAGGAGATTCAAGTTGCTTGATGTCAGAGGTAAAAATTGTCGAGAAAATGTCCGCCAAATTTTGGTGCCATCCAAAGTTCCCGCAAACCACAAATTTACATGTCTTGTGACTTTGATCAACATTTTTTTCAGTAAAATCCTCACAAAATGTGCGTTCTAAAAGGAAATAAAAAGCATTGAAATTTTTTTTAAAAATTGATAAAACT